CCGTATGAGACAACAGTTGTTGTGACTTGGCGCTATATAAATAAACTGAATTGAATTGAATTTAAGATGACTTTGAATGTCCCATCATCAAATAAATATAAAAAATGTCAAGAATCTTAAATTGTGGCCCCCTCAAAATATGGGGTTCCACAAGGCTCAGTTTTGGGCCCACTTTCGTTTTTCTTTTTATATCCTCCCACTTGCTACCATTATCCAGTTGTTTTCAGAAATTTCCTGTCACATTTCTGCTGATGAAGAAACAAATCCTCACAGGAAACTGTTGTCCGTCAAATCCTGATTCAAAAGAATCATCTAGAATCTATGAACTCCAACATCTGGACTTCTCCGTTCCTAAATTATTACAGATTGTTGAAAAAAAAAAACGTTTAAAAAGCTTCAGGTTCTTCTTGTTTTTTTCCCCCCAACATTTTCAAACTCTGCCTGTATTTCTAACGGTCACCCTGTCTGCAGGTGGTGGGCGTGTCTGCTGTGACAGGAAGTGGGCTGGATCAGCTGTTCGCTCAGGTGGAAGATGCCGCCAAGGAGTACGAGAGGTGAGCTGTTGGATCAGTTTTACTCTCAGGTCAGAGGTCGGTCAGTAACTGAACGTTTGGTCTCTTCAGGGATTATCGGCCTGAATATGAGCGACTCCACAGACAGCTGGTGAGTTTTTATTTTTCTTTGTTCGGGTTTGTATCTGTCTTTATGCAGCCTCTCTTTGAGAAGAGTTTTAGGCGTAGTAACCGTGTCAGATGTGACTTCCTGTTCACCAGGCAGAGGCTCAGAGCAGGAAGCAGCAGGAGCAGATGGAGCGACTCAGGAAAGACCTGGGGGCTGTGCACATGACCCCGCCTTCAGCCTCAGGTAAAGATTAAAAACACTCCTCCTCCTCCTCCTGCTGCAGTAGAAGCACAACTTCTTGTTGGGACCAGCTCAACAGCTTCCTGTTTCAGGGGAAGTGGACGTGGCAGGACCCAGTGAGCTCATCGTAACGAGCAGCAACCCCGGCGAGGACGAGGAGGTGGACAGCGACACCGACGACATCGACCACAGTGGTGAGAAAACAAACAAACAGAAACTGACAACTTCAGTGGACTTCTTCACTTTTATCTGTTCTAGTTTAGTTGAATTACAGCATTAAATATGTTTAACATGTTTTCGAATTTTCAGCAAAAATATCAAATTTTCAAAGTGAACTTCTATCAACATAAACATTAGTTTTAATTCTGTAATTGTGTTACTAAGTACCTGATGATGGAAGTTTTGTTTTAAAAAATAATTGCTAAAATGTGTTAACCTTGAAGTTAGAATCATCTGCTGGAGGTCTCTGGATAATTCGTTATGTTTCTTTACGTCTTGGAATGAAACAATCTTACCACTAAAAGAAGTATATTTCTTTAAACAAAGGAGTATCTCTGTTTAAGTTTAGAGTTTTGTTTTTCCTCAAACCCTCACCTCTCTGTGAAGGACTCAGTTTTAGTTCATCATAAATATCAGCTGTATAATAAACTGTATTATTCTACCATTAAAAACAGGTCATTTATTGTATTTATTGTAACGTATGGAGTGGTATGATGGTCAAAATTAAGACTACTGTGCAACCAGCAGTTGCTACATCCTTGTAGCAGGAGGCTATATCTCTTCATAAACCAGCTATTGATCTGATTAATGATAGGCTGGCACCGATAACTGAGAGGCCAGAGCTGGCAAATGAGAAGGCGACTGTTTATTTGTGTTAGCATCAGAGAGGCTAGCGACTAGCATRGWTAASCTGGYGTTAGYATCAGAGAGGCTAGYGACTAGCATGGATAAGCTGGCATTAGCATCAGAGAGGCTAGCGACTAGCATGGATAAGCTGGCATAAGTATCAGAGAGGCTAGTGACTAGCATGGATAAGCTGGTGTTAGCACTGGAGAGGCTAGCGACTAGCATGGATAAGCTGGCA